TTCAATTGCAAAAAGTTGATTAAATTATCTACAGACATACATAAACTAGTTCTAAAACATGTTTGTATGGGGTTTGAAATTCGTCATTGCCAACTTGAGATATTTAAAGTTGAATTTGGGCAACTATTGCTGTATCAGTGGGGAGAGGTCACTATGCCCATATATGGTAATACCCTAGACTGATTTAAATCCTGCTCATACTATCTGAATGAAAATAGACCAGCACTTGGGGGAGGGAGGCAGATAAAGTGTTCTGTAGGCCCAAGGCACCAGTGGTAAGTGAGCTTTTCTCTAACGGTTACCAGCACTAATTTTACAATGCTGGTTAGCAACAGTGCCTCGCAGTTTGTGTTGATGCTAAGTTGTGCTAAACTTGCGGTAGCTACCCTGAAATGATAAAAGAGCACTGTAACATTTCAAAATTTGTGTTTTATGGCACATTGTATTTTTTTGTAGACCCTTAGCAGGATGCTGTTTGTACCCATTGGATAATCCAGCCTTGCTGGTATTACTGTCTTATTGTCTCTTAGCTCACATACAGTGATTTAAGTGCAAGATGCGCTTGTAGGCATGCCGGAAGTGCTTGTTGTACCAGGCATAAATGTAGGGATTGATGGCGGAGTTGGTCAAAACCAGCATGATGGCCAGCCGCTGCAGAGCCTGCGGGATGGTAAATGTGTGCTTTAAGAAATGCAGGATGGTGATAGGCATCCAGCAACCGGTGAGGAGGATGAAGATGAGCAGCATCATCTTGGTGAGGCGGATCTCAGCCGGGTGCACGATGGGCGCCGCTGCTGGAACCGGGGCTTGCCGGGCTGCCCAGACCCGCTGCTTGCTCTTCTGCACCGCACGGAAGGTTCGGTAGTATAGCAGCGGGATGAGGAAGAAGCACATGAAGATGCCATAGATCAGGATGGCGTTGGTGTACCAGAAGGTGGCCGGATCATTGTCATCCAAGTAACAGAACCGGATGGGGGACTGGTAGCGGATAGTGCAAATGCTGGCCAACTCAGACACCAAGACAAGAGTTACAGCGCTCAGCCAGTTGAAGATGAGGACCACTGCGACCGACTTTGAGCTGCAGAAGTGGTTGTAGGCTTGGCGCGAGCGCGAAACGAAGCAGTACCGGCTGGCGGCGATAGCAGCCAGAGTGATGAGGGAGCTCCCGATGGAGAAAAGGAAGATGTAACACACCAGCCGGCAGCCCAGAGGGTCATGGGGCCATCCGTAGTTGAAGAAGGACTTTATGAGGAGCGGAATGACAAGGATGCTCACCATGAGATCGGCGACGCTGAGGTTGATTACGAAGGCAAAGGAGGTTGTCCGGAGACGGGGGGACATTGCCACAGAGACAATCACCAGGAGGTTTCCAATGAGCCCCGTCACATCCACGAAGACCATATACACCGTCATGGTGATGAGTGCTGGTAGTTCTGTCTCAACATGGCTCGCATCTGATGCGTCAGGATCATTCAGTCTTGTAAATGTTCCATTGTCGCCCATGTTGCCAGTTCTTTAAAAAAAACAAACAAATTGTTTTAGTCTGGTGCACATCAACAGGAAATCATGGCATCAAAGTGCCTGGTTGCCTCTGTGACATGTGCTGTGATCTTGTGATAGGGACCAAACGTGGAACATTGCATCCTAAATATGAAAAGAGCACACACAAATCTTCCCACATCCCACTGACAAATGAATGTAAACATCGGCGAGCAGTTCAAGCCCGCTCATCGCCAAGAAGGAGCAACTTCCTTTGTACTCATCAAGTAAATCTCCCTTACACAGTTAATGATGAAATTGATCACTTCTTGGCATGCTCTGCACTTGTTTTTTGTTGGAGCTGAAAACTTGTTGACTAATCCAGCACTTATTTCATTTATTTTGTCAGTCGTTGGCCACAAATAGAAAGGGCATCTGCAGCATGTACATGCATGCACCGTCTGTTTCCTTGAGACCTTGTTCACATGTGCCGGACTTTCTGTCCAATGAAAATTTGACAGCAGACTTGTATTATTGGTAGAGCACCTCATTTCCCAGGTCATGCTGAGTTAGTTTTGTCACTTTTCTGTCACCCTAACGTCTAATAGTACCATTTTAATATAATTTGTACACAACCTAGCGTTTGAAGTGAATGTTTGCTGTCCAGAGTGATTGAGCATTATCTGCCGCCCCTTTTAAATTAGTTGAGGCCCATTTGCAATTGGTCACGGGGGTAGGGAGATGGATTGTTCCATTTTCATTTTACATCTTGGCGAATGACATTTGATCAGGGTTATTATCACTACCTTTGGTGCGAGGTCCATTAAAAAAATATGTCTGAATTTTATCTAATGATGAAAGGTGTTGTCATGGACTGCACTGGAGAGTATGTCGTTTATTAACCCATCTTCGTGGTGCACTGTTCTCAGTGTCCTTGCAGCATGCCATATTGTGCGACGAGTCAGGTGACCAAACTTGTATATGATCCGACTGCTGCCTGTCAAGCTTTCTTGTTTTCTTTTCCAGTGAATTGAGTACATTCTGAGAGTAATGCAGGAGGTTACCATGGATGTCACCAGCAACAGGGCGAAGATTTGGGGGGGGGTCGGCGGGGACAAGCACTCAGCAGCAGCAAAAATTGTCACTATCATTACTAGAATGGGATTAGTTTGAGGTGATTACCATCCTCTATTCCTCCTGTTTCATCTGTCCCTTTATCCTTTCTTTTCAAGTTCCCCCTCCTCTGTTTCATATGAAAGCCAAATTCTTGGCTTAGCTGCATACTTACCCTGTTGATGGATATTTGGTGTTATTGGGAAAAGGGAAAATGGAAATGTATTGAGCTAGTTAAAAACTATGTGGCAATTTCATGCCAAAGTGGTAATTTGTCATTCTGCTACTGAGTTCATTATTATGTGTAAATTCACAAATGAATAAAAGTATTTGGCGATAAATGAAAGTGGAAATTAAACATGTACATAAGTGTAGTCATTACTGTTTATTTTCACCTTCCCCTTTTATTTTTGAGTAATGTCTTACTGTGTGCAAATTATAGAAATGAGGTAGGTAATGGACCAACTCATATCGACTTGGCATAAAATTTACACCTTCATTTACAAAATCTGTCTCACCATCAAGCTGAAATACGCTTTCCTATTTAGTAACAGACTCTAGAATTGATTGCCCGGGAGGGAACCAGTGTTGTTCCAAACACCCCCGCATTACCCCCAGTGCCCACACTAGTGTGCATTGGTATGCCAAAGGCCTACCAGTGGTCTGGTAGTGATCAACTTATGCTGCTGCATATGTTCTTTAAAGCACGCATCTTTCCAAACAACATAAATAAAAAAAAAGACTTTTGAAGGTTTTACAATTCAGTGAACTAGTAATTCACCAGTAAGGTACACTTTCAGTTTGCTTGAATGAAGTTTTTGAGTTGCTCTTTGCTGTTCACATGATGTGAAGATGCTTTAACCAGTCATAAATGCCTTGCATATATAGTGCCTGATTAGGTACCATAGTGCCTGATCAGATACCATAGTGCCTGATTAGGTACCATAGTGCCTGATTAGGTACCATAGTGTCTGATTAGGTACCATGGTGCCTGATCAGGTACCATGGTGCCTGATTAGGTACCATAGTGCCTGATCAGGTACCATAGTGCCTGATTAGGTACCATATTCCATCATATTAACTATGTGTGATGCCTTGATGCACATGCCCAGTACACAATGATCCAAATTCCAGAAACTAGCCTATAGTAGTGAACCAGATGCGATAATATATTTCAGCAAACCAGGATGAAAACCCAGCAAGAGACTGTTACAGACTGGAATGTAACTTCTTCTTGTGGAACGGTTACTGCTTTGTCCAAAAGTGCAAGTGATGTTTTTAGTGTCCCTGTTGGATTTTGCCCTTCAAGCGCATGTTCCCTGAAATCGAGTGGATTTCCTCTCCTGACGGTTTGATTGATTACTTTGCACTTTGTGATTGAATGTTTATTGAAGGAGAAAAAGTAAATACCGTGTTGATGAATATGATTGAGCAAATTTTCCATTCACACGTCCAGTTTCTTGTTTGTCGAAAAAAATGTCATTAATTGTGCACATTTTCAAAATGTGAACGGTACACTTAGAAACTTGAATTGTAGTGGGTCAGTGAACTCAAGATACATGTTATGAACAGGGATGCTGCGAACTCTTCCAAGTTTCAATTATTTTATAAATGAATTTAAGCCAGTACTTAGAGAGTAGTAGCAATGAAGATAAAAATGTGCCAAAATCTGCAACAGCATGTTTAATCCAGCACCCTCTTCAAATTTCCAGAGCCCGAAGAATGTCAGGGTTTTTTTAACCTGTATTTTTAGTCGTCCTCTGCTGTCAACACCGGGCAGTTACTCCACCTTTACAGTTTTGCCAGGGTCAGGCATAGATCTAAAGTTTTGTTTATCCATTGCAAAACAGAATTTTCATTTCATTGACGTTAAATGAGCCAGGTCAGTATTTCAAAAATCCAAGGTCTTTTGGGAACAAAGTGAGTCAGCGTACAGCTGCGCTAATAGGACAGACTATCGTAGGTGTGCATAGCTGTTCCAAATAGCTTGGTACTGAGAATGGGCTGTATACTCTACTGGCTTATTACAACACGAGGCTCGTCATTGTATGATGGTCAGTTTGGGAATAATTTTGTCACCAAAGATGCCTTTTTTCACCATCAACTGTATCCTCCCAATTGACTTACTGACCACGTTTTGTCTTTTATTTCCCCATACTTACCAGGGATCTCTTCTAAATCTTCCTCCAAGCTCCGCTTTGCAGGGTCCCGGTAGCACTGTGGTATTTAAGATCATCACTGGACATCACCATGCAATATAACAGTGGCAGGGCACTCTATCCCTTCCTCAATCCTGTAAAATCTTCCCCAAAACATCCCCGGTGGATTTGGAAGGTTCTGCATGGGTTCCCTGGTGTTCAGGATATCATTTCAATCTTTCTCTCAAAACCAAATTTTTTTTTTTCCAGAGGATTTTATATCTGCGGTCACTCTGCTGGTGGTCATCTGGGGGCCATGATGCTGTCTGTTGATTGGTCAGTCAAATATGGTCTGCCCGAAGATTTCATCAAAGGTACCAGCAAGAAGTTTTGAAAATGTCCATGCAGCCAGAGTCAGTCGGTTTTGTTTGAATTGAGGCATGGCAATGCAGTATGTTTCACTTATTTCTTTAACTTGAAAACCAGCAAAATGAATATGTAAAGCCCGGTAGTGTTTGGAATGTATGGTGTCCTTGTAAGTACAGATACTACGTCGGTTGAAATGTTGATAATTTCCTCTGATGCCACTCTAAAATTGTAAGATTTGTTGAAGGTCCTGCTGCTGAAAGTAGCTCTGATGACCTTGATGTGCTCATTTAGGTCAGGTCACGTTCAATAGCAGAGGCTTAAGAGATCTTCCGTAAGACAGACAAGGAAATGTACATCTGAAAGTAACTGAAGTGGCAGTTGCATGGCATCCCCCCCACCCCTTCCCTCCAGCTCATCCGCAAAATCGCCTCAGCTCTTGTCTTTATGTACAAACAGGGGCTTGTCTGATGTCGGGAGTGTTTGATGTTCGGCCACTGGTCAAGTCTTACGTTAATGAGCCTCTTCACCTTACAGAGTGAGTGATTGTCCTGTCTGCCCTCAGCTCTGCATCGGTTTGCTCAGCTGTTGAGTTTTCTTTTCTTCCGAAGCTCTCTTTTCCGGTGATTTGTCGGTATCGGGGTTATTAAACTTGCAATATACATGTACAAAACTGGTCAGGGGTTTCTTTGAGCACTTTTCAAATTGCTACCCTTTAAGAGTGACCTCCTGTTCTCCCAAAGCCAAAATGTTCTTGTTATTTTATCCCCATTTTGCAGAAATGAAGCTGACCAAGTCAGCCCCATCAATTCCACCAACCTGTCCAAGGCTGTCCGGCTGAGCCCCCATTGTAAAATTATCAACGTCTACGGGGAACATGACCCACCAATTTTCAAACAGATGTCCAAGGATTATACCAGAGTGAGTGTTTGCTTTTTATGTTGACGCCATAATCTAAACAACCACTGCTACCAATAGACCAATTGTGCCCACTGAGTCACGGGACCTATAGTGGGTATTAAATATCAGCAAACACGGAGTCTGCCCAAGGCAAAGTTTCATTGTAAGTATTATTTACCAACAATAAAGCTGACGGTAGGTACCATACTCAAGACTACTGACGTGCTGGGTGCGATACCATAATTTGGCTGTATTGTTTGTAAACAACACTCAAAACACACGTTGCTATGGAGTTGATACCCACTATAGGTCATGTGATTTAGGTCTGTTGCTTGGTACGTGGTTCATTTAGATGGATCCATGGCCAGTTCGGTATTCATAGCACATACCCAGAACAATATGAAGTGTATTAGAGGTTCTCTGGGAACATCAGTACAGTCGCATGTAGTTGACCCCATCTGCCTCACGCAGAAGCACCCCGTCATCGGGTGAAAAGAGCCGCGTTGGTCTGGATTGCTCATTTTGTTGGTGGCGACGTGATGTGTGCATTTCCTAGTCGTTTGTGAACTAGCAAACTTCAGTTCCGATCAGAGGAACCTCTGTTGCCAAGAAAATAGCTCTCTCTCTTGGTCCAGCTCAAGGTCAACAGAGAAGAGGGGCTGTGCATTGACTCACACACATTGGACATGTTTGAGCTCCCAAGCTTTGTTCAGGAATGACACACTAAACTGGCTCATTAAAGAGATTAAGTCAAACACGCATTATCCAAGATCCCAATCCATAATTCTAAAGTACTGCATGACCTCCATTTCAGAAACTTGCCAATGGTGGTATTGATGCTACATATGAGGAGATTCCAGGGATGGACCATTTTGAGCTGGTGGAAAGACTAGTTGACCCCGAGTATTCCCTCACAAAGGTACACTTCATGTGATTCTGAAAATCTTGGTGGCCGTTTGAAATGAGTGCATGATGAAGTGCAAGTTCACCACCCGTTCAAACACACAACATTCAGTCATGCACCCTGTGTTCTGAACTGAACTTCTGAATATTGTTGAGAACACATTTGGAAAACTTCACGCAATTTGGAATTCATCCCTGTTTAGTCATGTGACACTAGTGGCTACCAGGGGCCTTTTGGTTTTGATCAATGATCCGTCACTGGTTCACTGACATCAGAACCTGCATAATGGATGATGTGAACCAGCATTGAGATCACTGATCAAGATATCGAGATCCATGTGAAAGAAGCAGGCCTTAGATCTTTGTTTTGTTACGCAACTGCGAGTAACGGGAACCAGACTAATAAATAAAGTGAAATTGGAAGAGTGGAGAACCAGTCTGAACCTTGCCTAGTCCATAAGTTTTATGGGAAATATTTTTAACTTGGGAACTTCACAATTTTAGGCTGTGGCATTTGTTTAAATTCTTTGCGCAAAAGTGAAATGTCCCAAGCATTCTGAGCTTATGATGTTCTCTCTCTTTGCTGACTTAATTTTGTATCTGTTTGGTTTTTAGATGTTGTTGCAATTGATGTCACTGTGAAGCCGCTCGCAGTTTCTTCTGGCAAGCAGCAGTCTATGCAATATCAGAAATAATTTCAAACTAGAATTTCATTTCGAAAAATACAATAGGAGAATTCTGAAATGCTTCGCAGCTGCAACCCTAACCGTCCTGATTTTGTTAACTGTTTGCATCATTTCAAACAAGTGCACCATACCTCAGTTGCCATTGAAATTTCAGGAGCAAAGGAAAGGCAGCACGTACATGTGCTGCCGTCTGTTCACGTGTTGTTGTGTACATATAGCTAGGGCTATGCTCATGTGTGCAGTCTTATGCGACAGTTCAGTACTGACAAATATTGGACTTGTGTGCGGCTCCTCTCATTCTCGCTTGGTAAACAGCAAAATTTAAGTGGCACAAGATAATGAATGGCCCAGTGGGAGAGGGCCCCCCCCTCTCAATCAATCATGTGTATTGGTATGGTAATTGAAAATAACGGTCACTTAATTGGCCCAGCAGGTTCTATATGCTTCAAGTGATTCAACGGCCCCGTTTCATATTCTGTTGTTTGAAAATGTACGTGCAAGAACGTAAACCTGCCTTGTATTTCAACATTAGCAGTCTCAAGTGTTATGGGCATAGTGACCTTTCCTATATTGGAAGAGCAATTTTTGTCCAAATTCAATTTTAAATATCTCAAGTTGGCAATGACCAATTTTAAATCCCATCAGAACAAACTTGTTTTAGAACTTTAAATTTATGTCTACAGTCAGGTTTTTTGGCACAGCCAAAAAATTTTGAAGTTGAAATTTGTTGTCATTGTTTTTATTCCATATGCTGCAATGTTCAAGAAAGGCACCCTGTTATATGGAAACACTCATACAACCTGTTGCAGGCTATTAGAACAAGCCTTGTGATTGGTCAGATTGCACGAGGTTGTAATGTAATAGGCTGCCCAATTATGGAAATACTCCAGACTGATTAGTCTGTTTGATGCTGCTCGCTGAAAGGCATACATAGGACTTGGAGGTCCCTTTTTTATAAGAGGTATTTTTTTTAATACGTTGTATTTGCTTCACTATGAAACAATTGTAAATGGAGTTTATTTCTTCCAGTCTGTGATTTTGTAATTTTCCACAATTTTTTTTTTTGGGGGGGAGGCTGAGTATGTTAAATTGGGTTTCCGAGTAAGTTTTCAGAAATAACTAACCTTGATGTAAACAAAAAAAAAGGCTACCGAGAACCGTAATACTTGAGCACAGCACATGTCCATCAGCCTCACCTTGCTGCTGTCATGAGTAAGGCATCATTTCAAAATTCGTATCGGCTGACTATAGGACAGGGCCATCCGACCGATAGCAGCGACATGTATTGAGTGAATAATGGAGGGGGGTGTTGCTCCACGAAAACCACATAGGCTTGGGGGTAATGCAATAAACAGGCATTTATCAGTTAGAATTGGCCACTTGAGAACACTTAACCTGATAGCCAACCAATGATAAATGTATCGGTCGGACCGTTCTGTCTGACACCCACCCGATAAAAATTTTCAAATGGTGCCTAAATATGCTTAACCTTCACGTCTTTTCTATGCAGCACTTCACTGTGCACAAAAACTGAAAATGAAATTAACGCCACTATGAAAGACAAGTCCCTGATTGTGTCCAATGATAAAATACACCAAACGCTCTCGGGAAAAAAAATGAAATAATGCTTGTAAAATTAACCCTGAAAGCAATGTGGCAAGATCGAGTTCCCCTCAAGGGAAATTGGAAAGACAGTTTTTCTGGACACCAGTATTGGATACATGTTGACATTACACTCAAAAGAAGGCAAGAACGGTACAGTGAATAAAAAAACCACCAGACCAAAGCAATACCAAAGGTCCTGTGAACAAATACTGCGTAACTGTTGATCACTGCCAAGTGCATGTAACCGAAGGCTTTAGCACTCGCCCAGCTTTTCCGAATCGCACTTGATTTTGCTATACCAGGCAAGATATGGGACAGAGGGGTAACCCCCTAACCTGTCCAATCCCTAAACACACTCTAGACTAATGTTACCTAACACATCCCCCCCCTTGAAGTCTGTAAAGAATTCCTGAGATTCCGATCAAACAATGACCAACACAAAGGTGGGGGGGTTCTCTCCGTCGCATATCTTGCTTCAAATGAATTTTGCAGTGCCGCAGTCGAACCTGTCAGAAGTCCTTCCACAAGTCCAGTCACAAGTAAACAGGAGAAACATGACAAAAGGAAATAACGCTTTAGTCACAATTGAATTGAGTCCTTTGTGTCTGGGCTTGAGACGGGATGACCCCTGATAGACTTGCAGAGACTTGTGATGGACACCACTGCAACACTGCTAGTCTGTATTGGTCTTCAGACTGAGCTTGAATCCTCCAAAAGCAGTAATTAAATTTGACAGAAAAAACAATCAAAAAGTTGCACAGACTGTTGTAAGTGGGTGTTAAAAATCCTCAAGGTACTTGAAAATAGTATTTGTAAACACCATGATTGTAAAAATATTAAGGAAAATTTACAGATTTACTTCAGCCTTTGAAGGCACTGACATATAATCAAAACCAGATAATGAACATTAAGAATGGGTGTTGCTAAAGTGCTGGCTGGATATGCATCACTTCATGCAGTGTACAGCACACATGGGCTACTATCCATTTAAGGAGATTGATCACAACTTCTCAAGAAATGAACAAACTGTAACATGGCTAGAGGGATGCTTGAAAAAGTGGAGTGAAATTGTGGAATAAAATCGTTGGAATTTATAATTTTCAAAACTTGTTTTGACTTGTGACTCAAAAGGTATTTACGCACAGGAACAAATATGTGCCTGGCTGGTCTCGACCGGCTCAGGAGAATGGATATTGTTGATACCTCTCGCCTTTCAAATTGGCTCAGTCATCATCAACTTCCATTGTCTTGATTTGGTCTTTGACCAAGTGTACAAATAAACATTAACCCTAACAGTCCTGAATCTTCCAATTTCAATATGATTTTGCACACACCCTAGGGAGTTAGGGTTAAAGACTGGCCAAGTACATATTTATTCCCTGATTAAACCTTAAACCTAACTCCCCAGGGAGTGTGTAAAGGCATATTGAAATCAGAAGATTAACCCTAACCCTCCTCAATCCTTCACCTGTTGGAGGACTGAGGAGTGTTAGGGTTAAGCCTTTTTTAGGGTTTATGTCATACAACACTTTGTACTGTAGTATTTGGCCATCCAGTTGGAAAGTCAGGGAAACAAGGACATTGAAAACTATGCAGTGATTTTAAATTATGTAGGAAGGTAAAACAATGAGGAAATCAGCTTTCACGCTTGGAAAGGAAAGTTTCTTGCTTGAGCATTTGACTTCTTTGGCCACTAAACACCAGCTGTATCTCCAATAACATATCAGCCTCAGTACACCGGTGGTCCATGGAACCAAACCTAGGACTGGAGTCGACTCAGAAACTTAAAATACTTATTATTATGCAGCCGCGATCAAGGATTCTCTTAACAATGAACGTGACCCAACCAAGGATGACAGTGCCATCTGGAATCATTTTTTTCGCATGTCCAGTAATTTGATAGGTTTCAAGCGACTCTCAGCCGCCAGTGAGTTGGACAGGCGGCTGAACTGTATGAGGCTTGCTGATGCACCATGTAACGAACTATAGACCTCTTTTGGGAGAAGTGCGGCCCTGAAGACTGACTGGTTCTTTTCAGAGCCACACGTCTTCCAAACAAGATTTCTCGCATGATGCATCCACAAGCCTCGTACAGTGAGTTGGACAAATTATTCATGTATAATTGCAGTCTGTCACGTTAAAATGGAGACTTACACAAAGAAAACGAATCCATGATTGTAGCTGCGTAGTACACAAACTATATAGAATTTCACCTTTCCAGTTCAATAGGACTTTTTTGGTCACAAATTTTCAAATCTGTTTTAAGACTTCGCCTCTCTAAAAACACAAATGAAACTCTAACTGAAAGCCTCTTCTAGCAATGCAGATGCAGGTTGGCTTACCTCCTGGCTACTCATCATCTGAATCGGAAGACCTCACTCCAACTATCCCGGCTGGTGATCTAGCAGCCAACCTAGCGAGCATCGTTGCGCTGATGTGCCCAGGAGGTTTCAGTGGCAACTCTGCTTCTCTGCTCGGCCTACAAAACAAGGAATGAAAAGGGTTTAAGTTTCTTGGAAACAAGTATATATGCGCCTCGAGAATAGCAGCTAAATCACATGACCGTAAATGATGCTTATGGCACACTTTGTTATGGGAAGACGCCATGTTTGTTGATGTTTGACACCCACTTTAGGTCACATGATTTAACAGGTGCCACTGGTCTATTACACTCTTTCAGAAGTAACTGAAGAGTCACGAAGGTATAAGCTTGTCAAATTTGACAAAAATTTCTACCAATGTGTTGAAAAAAAAAAAACCAGTTGTCAGCGTTTCAATCCTGTACTTGCCTATCTTTATTCTGTCCCTCTCTCACGTCTTTATCGCTCCAAGAGGTCAGTTTGCCCCTCGTGAGGCTATCATCTCCGAAGACGCTGGAGGCAGAATTCTGGGATGGGTTGCAAAATCTGCTGGCCGACGAGACCTTTGTAGCAATGGAGACAAATGGCATGGAGTACGGCGAGAAGAACGTGGCAACATCGGGCTGCTGGAGACGCTTGGCCGATGTGACGCTTCTCGGAGGCGCAGCTGGGGAAGGGTAGGGATTCCGAGGAACTGGGGGAGTGTCGCTGCAGATCTGCGGCACCTCGGGAGCAGTTTGTCTTCCTTGCTGGTGCGTGGGGGATATCATCTCCTCGTCCTGCATCAGAGAGGCTAAGCTAGTCTCCAACTGCTCCACTGCCCCCAACGTCTCATCTTCGGGAAATGTGGATGACACTGGAGCATCATCAGGGCTATTTTGATGGTGCCCTTGAAAACGAGGAATAGATGGTTTACTCGACGACCTCTGTTGATACGGATCGCTTTGTACCAGTTTGGTTTTCTGTGACATATCAGGGATGCGATTCTTCCTCGCATCCTTCCACGTCATGTGAGACACCCTCTGCTCTGTTGGGTCTGTTTTACGAGAAGAGCTGGCTGCTCTTGAAGGACTACTTTTCATTTCGGCGAAACTACCTGTGCCCTTGTGGCTCTGTGTACCACCTCTAACGACCGGCACAGATCTCTGAGCAGTCGGTCGTGTCATGGAATGGATCGCAGATGCGACTGCAGTTTTCTCTCTGGAATGTTGCCGGATGAGATGTCGCCGCATCCGATTCACTGTCTCCTCCTCGTCCCTGCTCCTCTTTTTTTCTTTCTCCATCTCCAAATATTTCTATTTTGGGACCATGACCAAACAAAAAGCAAGTTTCACTTTGATATCCAGCTGCACATCAGCAACATTACATTCATTTGGGTAAGTTTGCTGGGGACTTCTAAAGTTTTCCTGAATACAAACGTGCAGAGTTACCAATAGCATATAATTTGAACAATGACGCTCGTGTACAGTAAAGTGTGGCCCTTTAAAAATTGTTTTCTATCAAATTTAACTCTTATTTAGTCCTAGGCAGTCAGACACTCCAGCTGAAATAAACAAGTGAGCAGATTATGGTCAGTTTAGGACAAGTTTTCATGTGTCTACATTTGAATTGACGTGGTTACCGAAAAAATCGCGGACGCAAACTAACCAAAGTTTATAAGATCAAGACAACACAATATCATCCTCGTACTTCATTTCAGCAACCTGTCAACAGTTTTGTGACGTTTTATCCAAGAAGAGATAAATGACTAAATTCTGAATGACTTTCAACCTACAATTCCCTCAAACAGTTTAAGACAATAAAGGTTGCTCTGAATATTGGCATCCAAGAATTTTTATACACACTCTAACCTGGAGCATCCGCTCGCTTGCTGCTTTGAGCTCAAGCAGGTACCATGGCAACGCATCCCTCCCCCATCCTGTGACCACTGCCTGGAGGTCTAGCTCTGTCTGGGGAACCCCTAGGAAGTGCTCCGCAGCCTCTGTGGCAATCTCCAGCCGCTCCAGAGAGGTGCTGTACACCACCTCCTGAGATCAGAAATGAGAATGGAAATACAGACGACTTTATAACCCATGGTAGAACTGGCAGACACAGTCTCAGCATCCACAGCACTAGTGCGGGCAGTTGAAGCATAGGACCAGTGCTATAGTCAAGTGCTATAGTCAAGTACTTCACTGGTATTTTGCACAAATCATCGCAGGTGCTTTAACTTTCACAATTGATCTCAGTCCTTACAGTTGAACAGTAACAAAATAGTTTCTTTGTTGCAGTTCATGCATGAGTAGCTAGCTGCTCATACTGAGACTGAGCAAGGATGGATCGGGGTGGGGGAGCAACCGGGACCACCCCCCCCCCAAAATTTCTTTTGGAACAATAACAGAAGGCAATTTTTTGATCCATTTCATTTCTGCAAAAAGTCTCAAACTGTAGCCTCACCCCTCAGAAAGGCCCCAAAAGGTTGCATAAAGATGTCTTGATTTTTTTGGCCACCCCTAAAAATCCCTTCCCCCAAAAAATACACCCTTGAGACTGGGGTACTTGTGACTACCATCGAAGATCTGTGATTACTTGTGAAGTTTTATGAGCAATTATGAAATATGAGCTTTGAAGCTTTTCATGGTGAGGATACAAGTTAGTTATAGAGGTTTGCAGTAGCACAATTCAAGGATATCTCTTTCTGAGTATGTGTGGTTCTGAAAGGAACTGGAGGGTCCTCGACATTTCAGACAGTATGCTCTGTCTGTCATCAGAAGACTGCTATTATGAAGTACTCGTTAATGGCACTGGTACCAATAGCAACCACAGCAGCGACGATGAACACAGCAATCGATTGCTGTAACTGGTGTCCCAAATGTCAGCAAGAGACACAGCACTAGGGCAGGGAACCTGTTAACCACATGCTGCCAGGTGCTTTTAAAAATGCAGGCGATTTTCAAGATTTTTAGTTTTCGAATTTTTCAAAACTTCATTTCATTTAATGGACGTTTACACCCACATGAATGACTGTTTGTTGGCTACTCTAAGCTGACGGGTAACCTTCATTGACTCCTGAATATTTCAGCCAGGTCTGCCGCCCTGTTAAGAGAGCCCATATTTGTGAGGTGTTGCATAATTTCCTTTGTACCCAGGGAATGCAAGTGGTGCCTTTTCAAACGCCGCTGGCTTAGCATGCAGCGGTGCTATGTCGCTCATCAATGGGGCCCTGGAGCACTTTTGTTCGCGGTGCTAATCCGCGGGCACACTATGCCAAAACAGTGGTATACAGTTTAAAAACAGTGACGGTTTACCTTCGAAAAATGCAAGCCGAAAAATGATGGCAATTCCCAGCAGCAGGTCTTTTATTCCGAGTACGCTCTTTTGTTACACGGACAAGCTCTAGTCTTTTGTCCCATTTCGGGCACCCCGGCTCAGCGTATAAACCCATGGTGCTCAAAACGGAGTTCCCCAGCAGCACCTGGTTTAGCAAGAGTTTATGCATTGCTTCAATCTCCATTGGATCCATCAGCATCAACGTACCTCTTGGGTGATGCTGCCCTCCCATAGTTGATTCACAATGGCACACAGAAGAATACCATCGGCAAACCTAAATTAAGACAAAACATTCATCAATCTTCTCATAATTTTTTTTCATCTCTTAAAGAAAAGGGTGACTTTCATTGCATCAAAAAATTGTGTAGTCCTACTCATGTTTTGGTAACTCTGTAAGTGATCAAAATATGACACTTTGACTTCTCACGAGAAATCTTTAATGTGATTACTCATTGGCAGATTTAACCCCATCAACTTGAGTGATAAACTGATCTTTTTGACTATCTTTATCCAATCCACTCTTCCTCAGTGTACACGAACGAAAGGTTACCCAATTCACTCACTCTGAGTAATCTTTGAGTTCCAGCCCCAGTAGTCTCCGTATCCAGTCAATCACTGCCATATCCTCCTTGTACCAAACAGTGAAGTTGCCACTCTCGTGTGTAGTCTCCAATCCAGCCTCTGAATCATCTTCCCCCGGCAGCAAGCTCTGGTAATCACTGGGGAGCATTTCTTCTCCTTCAATGAGTGATGAAAAGCCACACCATCCACCACAAAACAACAGACGTGTAATATAAGAATGCTAGATTTTTCGTTTACCCCTCACCTGGTCTACAAATCAAAGATTACAGAGTTTCCTCTCACACCAATACACTTATCTGATGAACAAAACTCGTACTCGAATTCCCTCTGTCACAAGTAAAAAATTCCAAAGAACACCTTTCACTTGCTGAAAATCCAGTGTCTCGTCAAGAAGAAATCTCAACAAACTGTACCTTGTTTCCATGGAAACCGTGGCCATGTGAACTCAGAGGAAAGGGAAGCATTGAAAGATGAGGATGGAGATTTATGTTTCCATGACAACAGAGAGCTCAGGCAATGATGGTTCTCCATCGTGTCACCTGAAAGAAAATAATACATTTTGTTTCTTGGTGTGAAATGACCACCAATTATGAATCAGGAAAACCACTCATACGATGAACTCAGTTTAATAGGAGCAAGAACATTAAAAACCAATCTTTTTACCTTCAAAGCGGATGTACATTGCACGGCACAAAGCAAGTATGCTCTTGAGGTTTCCCCTTGCAACATCTACAAGTCAAACACAAAAAAGATATTCTTATCAAATTTAACTTAGTCAACTCATTTCAATAGGCACTTTTCCATCAACCCATCCCAAGTCATTCCCACTCCAAACCAATTCCACTGCAACCACGCAATTTTACTCCAATCCAACCTAGTCTAAACTACCCTTCTCAAGTGGAACTGATGATAGAGATGCTAGCTGCAGCTCTACCTAATCTGACACTCAGTCCCAACCACCCCAACCCAATGCAACCCATCCTAACCCAGCCCTTCCCACCAAATCCAACCCAAATTGATGTAACCAAACCTTGCAAACCCAAACATACCTATTTTACATACAAAGTGTGCACATTCTTTTGTTCTCCTGTGGTTCAGGAAACTTGAGGAAAATGCTCCTTTTTCTCCAACTAGGATAACTCCTTCGAGCAGGAATTTTGATGATGATTTCCTGGACTGTTCCTCTTCATTTTGCCACCGATAACCTTGACCCCAAAATGCCTCTGAAACTGTTTTTCTGAGAGGGGAAAACATTGTGTGGACATGTGTAAGTCCACACAAGGCCATCGCACCCTACATTATGTGGACTTCTTTTGTGGAATATGTATGCAATGCCTGCACAATGCAACCAACACCAACCTCACCTAGTTCCATCCAACCCAGTCTCACCCAACCAATCCAATCCAACTCAACCCAACCCAATTCAAACCATACCAACTCAACCCAACCCAATTCAAACCATACCAACTCAACCCAGCCCAATTCAAACCATACCAACTCAACCCAGCCCAATTCAAACCATACCAACTCACCCCAACCCAATTCAAACCATACCAACTCAACCCAACCCAATTCAAACCATACCAACTCAACCCAACCCAATTCAAACCATACCAACTCAACCCAACCCAATTCAAACCATACCAACTCAACCCAACCTAACTTCCTCAACCACACCCTAACCCAGCTCCGCCCGAAGTCACTGATCTTCAGAGTAATTGATTACCTTCAGCATGCGCCCCTCTTACATCCACTCCTAGTCTATCCAGGAAACACAGACAGGCTTCCGTGTTCTCCAGGCGATGCAAGTACAGGGCAGGCCTTTTGTGGAGGCAAGGAGGTGCTTCGAATGCTGGGATGAAAAACCAAACTCTCGTCAATGCAAGCAGATTGGACCATATCAAAAGACGTCTGTCGAAAATATTCAATTATGACTCCATGGTAAACAAAATGCTGCTATATGTGTTTCAGCTTTTCCCTTCATGGCCTGTGTTCAAAAGCGGTTTTAAAACCCCACAGGACACCCGTTTTGAAATTTTGACAATTAGAGTAACCAGTGACTGTTGTCAACACATGACAGTATTTAAGGGAAACACCAAAACCACCAACCTTCTCACATTGACAGTACATCGACAACAACTCACTTCCTGTCTTAAGATGTTTAATTGAATCATCAGTAATCCTTCTCAAATACATTTTTTTGTTAGCATTAAGGACTCCCAAAACCTGAGGAAATCAATTGAAAGATGTACAAATTTAGGATTTTAGGGGTCCATAACAACTAGATTTAAAGAGATGAGGAATTTCTTATCACAAAATCTACGGTGGCAAAAATTAGCCTTCACACCAATTCTGAGCTTTCCAATTTTTATCAGAAAAGAAATACATAGGCCTTGAAAGACTGTATGATCCAATGATTCAAACTTACAAAACTCACATATTTGATGGACAAAATGAAGCAGTGTGACACCGTCTGCAAAATCCTCTTGTAGGTCAGATATCCTTGCCGAGGGTGACAGCTGTTGAAGGTAACTATTGATCCACTTAGTAAATGCCTTGGAACAAAAAAAACAAGACCAAAACATATGCAGCCTCAAATATACTTGGTTTCCATCATCTCAAAAAGAAGAAAACTCTCTTTTGTAATTTAAATCAAGCCCCCTCTGAAGATGTGAGATACTCAGTTTTACCCCATGAAACATTTGGAGGATGGTTGTTAAAAGGGCAAGTGAATTTAAGTTTCCATAGAAGTGTGTCTGCAAAGTCCTTTGTGATGACCCCTATTCCAAAACCAGGCTGAAGTAGGTAATATTGATGTTTGATGACTCCACTCCCCTTCTGTTTATTTTTTAATACAGTCTCAATGTGATCCATTGTGCAAGTTTTATCTGCATAAAAGCTTCGGTAATTGCGTGTCCAGGTAGTGAAAGTTGTGGACTTCCCATTGATCATGTGTATACTAGTGCCATTGTCCAGATAACAGCTAAGAAGTTTTCAACCTGGTCTTGGAATGGTGGGTCACATTTGACCATCCTATTTTGAACTTGAAGCTGTGGAATTCTCTTTATCGCTCCTTCAAAGACATACCCAACATATTTCTATTCAAATGTGAATTTAAATCACAACTGATAAATATCTGCAAGTAAAATAGTCACCTTTGTGAAATTGATTTTTAACAATTTATGTCACTTATATTACAAATATTGTTCTTGAACTTTGGTACTTAATTGTTTTTGTAATCATAACTGTTCTCTGTTAGCTGCAGACGGGGGTAGGGGTCTCCGCTCGACACATTCTTGCATCTTGGACACCTCCATCCACACACAATAATTATGTTCAATAATTGATCTGTCCATCGATGTGTGGGTAAAAAACTGAAAAGCATTCAATTTGGCTCTGCAGTTTCAAATTTCAGACCCCTTCTTTCCAAAGTCCCAGGGTCAACTATGCTACCATTTGTTAATGGACCGAAACCTCAGTTCTGTCACTTCGCTAGAGACCTTTGAACTCTTTGGTCATTTCCCAATGGTTTAGACATCGAATAACGCATCATGGATACCTTTGCTTCATACTGGACTCTTTCTCCTTGGATGGATGGATTGGTCAGCTGATTAGGTTTGCAATAAAGAGGGTTGGTCTGGCTGGAGACACGTGGTGGGCTGATGTCCGTCATGCTATGTCTGCGAATCACCGGTGGTGACGAAATGTCCCAAAGAGACGACCTTAGGAGCTACATTTCACAGAAGAAACCCGAGCACTGACATTGGCAAATGTTTTTCAGCCTAGACTTTCTCAAAAAATTTGAACAGTTTTCCAATTCCAACTGTGTTTCGGAAAGAGTTCCATATCATGATATACAGACAACACTAATTTTCCCTTAAAATGTTATATACAGCTGTCACTGTGAGAAAGTGATAACATGTCCTAAAAAGTGAAATTTAGCTAAGAAAATTCCAAAGCATTTACATGTACTTAGAAAACACTCAGGTTTTTTCAGACATGTCTCATAGGTTTGTGCTCAGGGCCTCAAGTGTTGTTCGTACACGGAACTCTTTCCTATGTTTCTTTGCAGGACTTTTCCCTTGTCATTATGGCATCAACATTATGGTCTTGTCTCAGTTCATTTTAAAAGCTTGTGAATTGTTGATTAATGAGATCATAACGTAACAGTAATAGTTTTGATTTAGTGTTAGAACTATTAAAAAAAAGAGAGATTAGGCCCATGCCCCTGCCTTTGGGCCTGGACTACTAGTGTATGTCACATTAAAATCTATTTTTAGGTGCAAGATTACAATTTCATTGTAAAAAAAATTAATTTGGATTGTCTCAGAATTCATCGTATTTCCAATGAATGATCATTACTAAGGCTACGAATTACTTTCTTTCCTGGACTAGTCCTCTACGGAACCCAAATACACCCTCCCTTTCCATCCACAAACAGCCTACCTGCGCTGCCTACGTAGGCCGACTGCAGCCCCACTCGATCCAGACCGACTCTCGTCTGGCGAAAGTTGCCGCTTGTAATATATAACTACATAAACCTGCCTTTCGATTCCAGACAAAAAGTAAACAGTGACAGAAGGATCAACTGCAAGTGCAACTTACCCTCGACTATTCCCAACTTTTATCCCATCATGGTGGACGCTGGAAGATCAACATCTGCATCTTGTTGACCGTGTTGTCACGCTGTGATTTCTCGAAACAATTTCGTTTCGCATGTTGTGTGTGGAGCGCCACACAGCGTCGGACTTTCACTTTCGACGGCCCGACATTCATGGA